ATTTTTAACGGTTGTGAAAGACCTTCTCGAAATTTACAACTTTCATAACAGGTGTTATATATCAGTTTCTCATATTTTACGATATTTTACGCAATTTCTTTATTTTTTATGAAAATATCCCAGGGAGGCATTGATATGGCAGTGAAACAAAAGAAATGTTTTGTAACTGTCAATAGTTTTTCCTTTCATTAGCTTCGACTGTTGACGTAGCGTTTTTATCATTGTAATCACGAATTGACGGGATACGTTTTTGATATACGGTGAACGTAAGTAAAATGCAATGACCGCAGAGCAATTGTACCAAGTGCTGTAAGATATATAAAAAAGGTTTGAAGAGGTCATCGTATTGGTCAGTTACAATGTTGAACATTTACTGTCACATATTACGTGTCATTCCCTCTCAACTTCAGCAGTTCTCAACACGTTCGCACTTTTTCGTTAAGAAGAGAATAGAATTTATTTCTTTTATCAAGTTTTCAAACACCCTTTTTAAATAACTGGACCTAGGACACCCAGTATATGTTTTTAATTCGCTTCGTTGCTTTGAAATCGATTCGTTAATTAAATCGAGATGATTTTTTAAATATTACCTTTCCAAAGGCATTCAAAGCATGTAGGAAGACATTTAAAAATTCATTTCACATGGCCGGTAGAAGAAGCCTTGCTGAACGATGAAAACTTTTTCTTCGTTTAAACGAAATCAACCCTCGCGGATGCATCCCCAAATACCATTTCCGCAGTAATGTCACGTACAGACGGCAGATTTTAATTTTACAGAAATGCATCCCGATCTCTATGGAAACGGTGCGAATTGAAATTTTCCATGGTTTAGGTGAGCAAATTATCGAGTGTTCCTATTAGGTAAACAGTTTCAACAAATGTCATACAAATTTAATTTTGACTCAAGTTACTTAATAACCATCAAAATCTTTTTCTTTCTTTGATTATACCATAAATTAATGAAACAAAATGATGCGCCTAAATCACACTATATTATCACACAGCCAGATGTAGACAGTTTTTTTTGTGCAATTATCAAACAGTGTTGTTTTTACCATAAATTCATTTACAAATAAACTTGATAATGTGATTAATATTCGATAAATGTAATTTATTTGTCTTTGTGTTCATCACAAGTTTCTTCAAAAGCACATTTTGCGATGTTTTACAAAACGGTGCATACGACTGAAAACATTAAAGAAGCTTTATTGAAAACATGTTCGTATGAACTTTTCTTCTTAATTTTTTTTAGTTTACTCCTTCCTCATAAATTATAAGCTACTGATTTTCAACTCATAAAATATTACTGAATCCACAGGGTGTTTATATCTTTGGAGTAGATTTTTAAATGTAGATTGAAATAGAATACTTTAACAATAAATATTTTCAATAATCAAAATTGTTGAAACTGTAAAACTGCGCTTAAAATTAATTATAATCAAAATTGTTAAAACTTATTGACAACCTCTGGAATCATCCCGAAGTTACGTACTGCATATTTGTGGCCGCAAATGGCGTATCATCCACTTCTTTGTTCTTGTTTTTATATTAAACTAGCGCTAGGAAAATTGCTAATTCAATTTTAAACAATCATCAGCTCTACTTTAGTTTCTTTACTTCAACATTTGTAAACTAAGGTAGACCTACCTGTGGAGTCAGTGGTTCCAAAAAGTTTTCGTCGTGTCAGTGTGGTAAGTCAGAAGGTATTAAAAATAATATCTTATATTTGCAAACAATTGTTGTCGTCAATCTAGTTTTCGTACCTCGATTTATTTGCTCATCATTTTTATGATTTACAGTTTTAAAACTTGATAAAAAACAGAAATGAAATGTCCATTACAACAATCATAGAAATTCTTGAGGTCTCAAAGTAAAACCACCAGAATGCGTTTGCGGTTTTTATATTCTCCGTCACAAAGCAATGCTAGTGGCCACAAACTATCCTTACTTTATCAGTATTTTAATTTTCAAGCATTACTTGTACCAAATGTAGAGAGTATGTCTACTTTTACGATCGCACTGTCGCTATACTGGATCTCCGCAACAGCTGATCTGCAATACGTTTCTCATTCAATAAACGTCACTGAAACAACAAGTTGTCCTTCAAAGGAAGGGCTAGGAATTTATATTGCGCCGAAGCATCCTACAAAACGTTTTTAAATCACTATCGTGACGCGTAACTGAGTTTTATTTGAGTTCGTGTCCGTTGCCGCCCGAACAAATTTCCATTTTAAATTAATTATTTGAGCCGCAGATCCAGCGATACAACGCTGAGGATAATTATTTCAAAGCGGCCCTCTTAGAAAGCGATTAAATTAGACCCTAAGGTAGAAGGGGCTCACATTACGATCATTCGCAGATGTGTAATTGAATATCTAGAAGTTTATTACTACAGAGTGATGTTGTACAGGGGTTATCGAACTCACTTTGGTTGGATTCCTTCTACTTCAGAAGGTATGTAGTTTTAGTTGGAAAGTGGTGGATTTTTGAAGCTTGTTTCCAGATTGGTTGCCACATCGTCAGTTTAGACTTGTTAAGCATAGAAATTAAAGTATGTTTTATAGTAAAATAGAACAATATTGACTTTTATAGTAATTAATAAATTAAAATTATATCAATGTTACTGAACATGCGCATGAAAAATAATTTCATGTAAGCGAAGTAGCCTCACAACAGGATATCATTCAAGAAAGTCAAAGTCAAAGTCAATAATAAACCACTTGCAGAAAAAAAAACACTCGATAAACACCCTGACACAGCACAGCAGCAAGAAAAATCACAATAATATTTAGTAGAACTAGAAAATGCCAAAATTAAAATAAAGAAGAGAAAATACGCTAATGACATATCAACAATATCTCACCTGTGTACGAGGCTATTCTTTCCGAGCATGCGCATTAGGCATAACACGGCTAATGTTAAATTTTTACTTTATTTAAATTTATGAATATTCTTTTATATCGTCTTTTGTAAGTTTTAAGTACATTAGTGTATCTATTTTACGAAACAAGGTTGTTCTTAAATAACGAGCGTTCAAATAGAAACGTGGTCAAGTTGGTTCTGAAAATTTGGACGTAGGGCGTAGCGTATAGCAAATGAACTTAAACGTCATCTGTCAAAGCGCTATATCGCCGCTATCAATTTGAATATTTTCGTTTTAAAAAGCGTTTAAAATGGTGTTTTCTCAAGAACAAAAAGTGTTTATCATAGAGTCCTACTTTAGAAATGGACGCAAGATTGATGGAATATGGAAGTATTCTATTGAGGAATGTTTCATAGAATTTCAAAATCAATTTCCCGGCGTTGTTGAGTACAAAATTTTTCAAAGTGCAGTTCAGCGTTGTGTTAATGTTTTTCGTGAAACGGGCAGTGTAACAAGAAAAGAAGGAAGCGGCCGACCTAAAAAGCGGACTGAAGAATTAAAAGAAAATGTCCAACAAATAATGGAAAATGCGCCAAGAACTTCTGTACGTGTTTTATCACAAATGGTGGGAGTATCAGTCGGTACCTGCCACACAGTGTTAAAAAAAGATTTGCGTTTGTTCTCCTATCGTTTAACTTGTCAGCAAGAACTTCATGAAGTTGATTTTCCGCGACGGGCTGTATTTTGTGAATGGTTTTTAAACAACTACGGTGAACTTCATAATATCACCTTTTTTTCTGATGAAGCCTGGTTTCATTTAAGTGGTTACGTAAACTCACAGAATATGAGAATGTGGTCTTCTGAAAAACCAGATAACTTTTTTGTCGAGGGCCCTCTACACGCTCAAAAAATTGGAGTTTGGTGTGCTCTCAATCGAAGGAGGATTTATGGACCTATTTTTTTTAATGGTACTCTTACTGCGCAAAGGTATAGAGAAGAAATTATCGCTCCTTTTGTTAACCAGCTGGAAGAAAACGAAATTACAAACTTTTACTTTCAACAAGATGGCGCAAGGGCACATACGGCAGGCGAGACGATGAATATGTTGAGGGAAGTTTTCCAAAATCGACTAATAAGTCTCAATGCTGAACATGAATTTCCACCGAGGTCATGTGATATTACGCCGTGTGATTTCTTTTTGTGGCCTTACCTTAAAAACACTATTTTTGAACTGCCTATTCCTGATTTAAACCATCTGCAGGCTCGACTTATAGACAAGATTCGTGAAATTAACAATACCCCGAGCATCTTAGAAAATGTCTTTAATTCTTTGAGGAACAGGTGTGAAAAGTGCTTGGAACAAGGAGGGGGACACTTTCAGCAGCTGCTTTAATTTATTGTTATAACAAGGAGGGGGACACTTTCCGCAGCTCCTTTAATTGTTTGTTATTGTTATCACGATTATTCTTTAAAATAAAGTTATATAGTCATTAACGTTATTGAAACTGACAGCTGCTATACAGCTCGTTGAGAAATGAGGTTAAGTTGGTCGCTATAAGCTACTCCCTACGTCCAATGTGTCAGAGCCAACTTCGACCACGTTTTTATTTGAACGCTCCTTACTTTCCTTGTAAAAATAAATTAATTTGAAGTTGTTCATTTTTGTAGTACCTATGTAAATAGTACAAACAGATCAGATTCGGTCTATACAAATTCAACTATGACAATTTGTTGCGGGTTGTCTAAATATGTGACGTCACACTGAACGAGTTTATTAAATAAGTTTTGGAGGTTCTGGAGAATGATTTATTGATTTTACAGACATCTTAAAAGATAAGTAATTAATTAATATATTAATTTCAGTAGTGATTATATTGCCAAAATGTTAATTCATAATTTATCGGTAAACATTAAGCTAATTCAAATAAATTTAAAAAGATTTTTTCTAAAACATCAAAAATCTAAGTATGCTAAACTAAAAATTTTCCTCCTGATTCGCTTTTTCGTCCTGGACTATTTTATCACACATAACCATCGAACCTATTGAAAGGTTCGTCAGATTTAATTCGGAAAAAATAAATAATAACATATCTCCTCACTTCCGTAGAATGGTTAAAGAAAATTAATGTTGTTTCAGGCAGAGCAGTTCACCGTGCTGTGGGTCCTCTTCACGATGATTGTCCTGGGGAACTCTGCGGTTCTCATTGCCCTCTTGGTTGGCAAAAGTCGGAAGTCCAGGATGAACTTCTTCATCAGACAACTCGCCATAGCTGGTAAGAACTTTATAAATCTTTATGGTTTAGACGCTAACTAGCCTCATTTAGAGAGCTGAAATTGTGATTTTTTTCAAAAACAACTGATTATCTCAGAAACGGTAAATTTTAAACACCATGTACATTTAATAAACTCTAATATTAATTCAGGAATTAAAAAATTTAAAAGAACAAAGTTATGTAGCGCCCACGCGAAATGGAACACCCTGTAATGCTAAAAATATTTTCTTTATATAGCCTGCATGATTCCAGGTAACGTTTATTAAACCCATTTTCTTAATAAATTTTACAGTTGCAGAGTTACAGAAGAATCCCTCTTAGATGGAACAAATAATGCCCATACCTCGATCTTAAAATTTTTACTAAACAACATCCTATTAAAATCTGAATATGAATTTTCGGATTGCTGACAAGAATTTTGATGTTAACCACATAGCCGATGTCTTCTATATCTTGTACTGTCATATTTAGCAGTTCTTCCTTTCTACAAATCCCGTGAGTGCCCAAAATAACTTAAAAAATATCGTAATCAGAGGCAACAAAAATTCAATAACCTGCTAAACTGGAAATTACTGTGTAAATGTCCCAAATACATTCAGAACGACCCCATAACTAAGTCAGACTCTTTGTAACAAAATCAAGTACGTATTCGAGCAACTCGTACTACAACTCCTTAAAAGTAATTTCGTTTTCGTCTACGCTCCCGAGTTCTTTTGTCTGGTATTCATTGCTTACAAACGATAATTTTCATTTCTTATTGCTCTCCGAACTCTGAAAATTAGTTGTAAACTATGGATTTTATCTCGAATTAGATCGCCGTGGAGTAGTGTTTTGCTGCTTAAATTCCTTTTATGGCTCTAGTTGTTATGCAGACGGCGGTTCCGACGATAAATAATTTACATAAAACCGAATCTATAGTCACAGAATTCGTTCAAATGAACTACGTGGTCTCGGGAGAGTGGGCACCTACTGGGGTTGGTACTAAACGATGAAAGTCAGGGTCGAATCGCAGATGAAGACTAATTTCATAACGAATAAACTATATATTTTTCGAGAAGCTATAAGTTTGGAACAGATGCAGTAATATACACTAAATATACTTCAGTCTGAAGATTAGGCAACCCTTGTAAGTGGATTTTCCATTCCATAATGATTGGAAAAATTCGACTGTAAAAAGAATACATAGCATTGATATTAGTAAATTGCTTGCAGTGCAAACACTGTTACATCAAAATGTAACCACAAATTTTCAAAGAAAACCAATCCACACACCTAAATCTTTACACAAATTATATCACAATAAAAGTCATACATTACTACCAATACTATAACTAAATTCACAGGAAGATCGCTTTTTTGGAAAACTAAGGTTCTTACATTTAAAAGGATTGAGATGCGATTTATTTTGTACATACCACAAATGGATGTGGCCAAAATTCCACCTCCAGACTTTTCCAACACCAAAGGAAATTATTTTTGGAAAGATCATCTGCATAAAACAGTTTACAGTATTTAATTATAATAATAATATCATTGATACATAGAATGAACAGAAAGGGCCCAAGAGTTGAACCCTGAGGTACTTCAGAAGCCACAATATACAGTGTGGGCCATTAGTGTGGGAAAGTAAAATAACTCCCTTGTTATTCACAATACAGAAAAAAAGTTTATAAAAAAGTTGTACAGAACTAAAAAACCAAAAGGAGAAAACTTATTTGAAAGACACAGGGCGATGAGTAAAAACGGGACACGCCAAATATTGGAACACAATGTATTTTTTTAAACATGGATTTCTTAGAAAATTCTATATACGGCAATATAAACAGTTTAACATTTTAGTGCGGGGTTGCCAAGTTATGTAGAAAAAACATGACCTCGAAAAAATTGTATTAACTTTCAACTACTAACACTTGGAGCAAAAATATTTGACAGAGTTATAGGCAAATGTTAGGCAAAGACTAATATCGATATTTTATACAGGGCATTTTTTATAATACGATCATTTTAAGAAAGTTCGAACTTGATTTTCTAAAATTTTTCAAATGGATCACCCTGTATTTTTTGTTCTATTTTATTCACATATCAGTCCACTTCAACTTTCATTAAGTATGTTCTACACCTAAAGTTGTTAGATTTTAAGATATAGCAACATTTTTGGAAAAACCTAATTTTTATTATTTTCGGTCGCACGAAATGGCTTTGGAAAAATTGTGTCATTGTGTCAACTTGTCAGTTCATAATTTATCATTCCATTATGAGTTAATTTTATTAGTTTCAGTTCAGCCCTTAATAGGTATTAATAAATGAGGTCGTAAAAAAAACAATTCTCGGCCCCTGTTGGTCGTAGGACAGACTTTTTTTTTAGGTCCTTAGAAAAATGTCAACTTTCGAATGGCAGTATCGGCATTTTGATACGAATTGAAATCAAAAAGTTAATCAAAGTTTTATGGCCCTGAAAAATAAAAAACGATTTATCGATCGTTTTTTTGCGATATTTGAAATCGATTTGAGGCTCGCGCAATATTAGTGTAATTATAAAAGAAAATTTTAAGCCCAACCCCGTTCCTGTATGTATGATGTAGCGGCCTATGAATTATGGGGATTTTACAAAAACGTTTTTTTTTTCGAAAAACTCGATTTTTGCAAAAACTATAAAATATGTTTCAATTTTGAATAAAAACATTTTATTTTGCTCACCAAGCCTTTTCCTTTTCCTTTTACCAAGTTTCATAAAAAAATATTTATTTTTGAAAGAGACAATTATTTGAAAACATTGTGATTTTAGCGGTTTTTTTGCAATAGTTTATTTAGCGATCAAAACAGGTTTGGGCTTATTCGATCCGTATTAAAAATTCCTACAACTTTTGTGTTAAACATTTTTTTCTAAAATGTTTAGTTGTTTTTATAAATGAAGAAAATTATTTTTTGCGATCTTTGGACGCCGTTTTGAAAATGAAGCCCAAAAATTCAGGTAGGGTAAAGTAGTTTATTGGATTCTACGGAATTTTTCCTAATTTTTACATGTTTTCAATTAGGGAACTATTTTTTGGCACTTGAAAAAGTAATTTGGTTGGGCTAATTTAGGCAATTAAATTACCTACAATTTAAGGTATCTAAAGTCATATTTCACCAATTTGTTAACTGTAAAATAAAGGTTAAACGCGGAAAAATCAGTTCGAAAACTGCGCATTATTATTGCAAAAAGTGATGGATGTTGATGAAATTTATGGAAAACACGGCCAACCCAAAGACCAACATGTGTGCCAAAGGCCGATTCGATTGACCATGTTGCTCCAGCTATTTGTTAATTAATTTCGTTCTTTTTTTTGCAACTAATTGTTTAATAACTAATCGTTAGTTTTACAAGTTAATATTGTTAGATATAGGTTCTAATTGATCGAAAGAAACGTATCGAAAAAGAAACATTTTCAAGATATTTCATATTTTTAGAAAACATTAATGTTTCTAGGCATCTTCTTTCATAATTTTAGAATGTGTGCTATATTAAAATATATAAAGCGCGTTTCTGGATAGGTGAAGCAAGTTTTGCAAGAGAAAAAAATGTCGATACTTTAAAATGTCCTCCTGGGATTCTGCCCTGCTTGTTTGCGACACAAAACTAGCCATTATTTTAAATTTGAGAAATCCAGATAGATCGAATCACATCCACAATACATCTAAAAACTCCAAAACACATTAAAATCGTATTGTAAATACGTTAGAAACTCCTAAAAACTTCAAAAGTGCCAAAAACCACGAAAAAATGTTTTAAAATACCTGGAAAGCAGTGGCTTCTAACTAGCGCTTAGTCATGAATACTTTAAGCGATAGATAGATAGATAGATAAATTTATTAAATACTTTTTATACAAAGAGGTACAATTGTAGTAAGTCAAACATATATCAATAGTAAAAAAAATCAATAATGCACAATGTATAAAACAAAAAAGAACAGAGTAACAAAACTTACACAACGACATAAGTACAATTGAAATAATCAAGACAAAAAATAATTAAAAATTTAAAATCCTGGTGGTAGCACTCAGATACTCCTGCACCGAATAAAAACAATTTTCTAGAAGATATTTCATGATAATTTAAATTTACAAGAGTTTAACTCTTTTACGGCATCAGGTAAAACATTGTAAAGATTTAGCTGAGGTGCATTTCTGGATGATAGATTTAGTCGAAAACGAGACGCAAATAACTAGTCTGTCGTGTATTATGATAATGTACATTAGAGTTGCAAACAAACGTATTAATATTTTTGTGTATTTCCAAAAATTGGTAAAATATAAAAATAGTAGGTAAAGGCATTACCCTCAGTGTTTTAAAATAAGGCTGACAGTGGTCCAAAAACTTTGCGTTAGCAATAAACCTTATCATTTTTTTGCATTCTAAATATCTGTTTAGCAGAGGAAGAGTTACCCCAGAGAGTAATACCGTAACATAAATGAGAGTGGAACAATGAAAAATATACTTTTAAGATAGCACTTTGACTAAAATTTGGCTTTAGTTTACGAATAATAAAAGAGAATAACGACAGTTTTTTCTTTAAACAATGAACGTTAGGTGACCAACATAACCTATCATCAATAGTCAAACCCAATAATTCTACTGTGGATCCATTTGTAATTTTATTATCCGAGGAAAACATTATACGTTAGGTTTTATCCAAATTTAATTTAAGATTATTATTTGCGAACCACTCATTGGCTTTATTTTCTAATACATTTAGGTACATAAAATTGTAAATAAACTGCATTATTATTGCTACAAATCAAGGATGTATCATCAGCGTAGAGAATACACCTTTCAGGAGACAAATAGAGAGAAATTGACAACTGCCCAATAATTTGTTCGAAATAAAGTCAAACACTTCTTAATTATTATTTCAAATATTTTACTAAAAAATGGTATGACCGAGATGGGACGATAGTTATTGGGAAAAATTACGTCACCTTTTTTAAAAATAGGAACCACTTTAGAGATTTTAAAAAT